GGTGACAAAGTGAGACTCCAACTCAATAAATAAATAAATAAATAAATAAATAAATAAATAGATAGATAGATAGATAGATAAATAAAAATAAAAACCCAGTTGAAGCCGGGCTCGGTGGCTCAGCCTGTAATCCCGCGCCTTCGGGAGGCTGAGGTGAGTGGAATGCCTGAGCCCGTGGGTTCGAGACCCACCTGGGCAACTTGGCAAGACCTCATCTCTACAATAAATCAAAAATGAGCCGGGCGTGGTAGCGCGCCTGTAGCTCCAGTTACTTGAAAGGCTGAGGCGGAAGGATTGCCGGAGCCCAGCAGGCGAGGCTGTAGTGGCCGGGAGCGGCCACTGCACTCCAGTCTGGGCGACAGAGTGAGACTCCAGCTCAAAAAAAAAAAAAAGCCCAGTTGACTTGAGAAGCAAATTGTTATCAAAATGTTTCTGCTGAACAGCTTTCATATCATGTTCCCACTATATTCTGACATTTCTAATTTCATGTTCAGTCGAAAGAACATGAACTCTTGTCTCTGCTACTTTCTAACTGACTAATTTTGGACGATTGCTCAATCTTCCAGAGTCTCAGTTCCTCATTGTAAAACAGGAATACTACTTCCGGGCTTATCATTAATTAAATGAAATGCATGTAAAACCCATGGCATGACCCACACATAGGAAGTGTTTAATAAAGGTATATGCTTCCTTTTCTATTTCCAATTTCTACAAAAACACAAATCACCCATCAAAAGAGGTCCCAAGACAAAATCATATACTATGGTGGTTTTTATGGGTTACACAGTCATTTCCGTAGCCTGCTCATAGTATGTATTCAATGAAAAACCAAACTTCACAAACTCTACCTCATGTATTAAATCAGGGAACTGTTCTAGGTTAGGAAAGAGGTGCCTGCCAAACTGCCTCCTCAGAACTCATAAAACTACTCTTTTACAGCAGTTTTACACTGGCTTTAGCTGTGTGATCATTTAATTTATCTGGTCCTCAATCTCCTTTTCTGGAGAATGGGACACAAACAGGGTTGTTGTGAGGTCTTACATGAGATAATCCCTTAGCATAGTACCTGGCTCATAGTGAACAGAAACTTTAGTTGTTTGGCACAGATCAGAAAGATTAAACCTCAAACAAATTAAGCTTAGTGTTCTGATGCAGGTAAAAACACGACATGGAAGGTACTCAAATAAGGTGCTTACCCTTGGTTGCACTCTATATATCTTGCAGCAAATTTCTCCATTAACCTGTCAATCTTCTGGGCTTCCCCAGGTAGGCGGAAACCTTCTAGGAATGTCCGCAGGGCAGAGACAAATTCCTTTTCACAGAAGTCAAGTTGGTCCACATAGGCATACATCACCTCCGTGTTGAACCTTGTGCTGTCTCCCAGAAAATCGCCTACCTGGGTCTGAAACATACATACTCACTCACTTCTAGAAATGGTCAAATATGAACCCACAGCAAAAGCTACCCTAGACATCCAGAAAAGGCTGACTGCTAAAAAAGCTGAAGAACTCCCTGACTTGCCCACTCACCAGGCCATTCCAGTTCAGCCCATCTGCCATGGATGAAGGAAGAGGAGGGGGCAGAAGAGACTTAAAAACGGGGAGAATGGGCCGGGCACAGTGGCTCACGCCTGTAATCCCAGTACTTTGGGAGGCAGAAGCAAGAGGATTGCCTGAGCCCAGGAGTCTTGAAGACCATCCTAGGAGGGCATCATGACGAGACCTCATCTTTACAATAAAATTTTTAAAAATTAGCAAGGTGTGGTGATGCATGCCTGTAGTTCCAGCTACTTGGAAGGTTGAGATGGAAGGATTGCCTGAGCCCAGCAGGTCAAGGTTATAATGGCCATGATCGTGCCACTGCACTCCAGCCTAGGTGACAGTGTAAGACTCCAACTCCAAAAAATAAAAGATAAAAAAGGAGAGAATGATGGGGCACATTCAGGGGAAGGCTAGTTGCAGATAAACTGCAAACAGTTTCTAACAGTCAAGGGACACTTCTGGCTTTGACAGTGCTCTACCACGTATGTACCCACCTGTTGGGAGGCTAATTTATTCCCAAAGCACTTTTTGCAACACCGGCCAAACGGATAAACAGGACTGCTATAACCAGGGGTGGACAATAGAAAATACTCAGGGCTAGCCAGTCTTGAGGTGAAGGTTGACAAGGGTTCAGAATCACCTGACAACTCACATGCAAGTGCTAAACCCCCAGTCTTACAGAATCGAGGCGTTCCTCCTGGTGCAGGAATTGGGCAATGTCTTCAACTGACGTTCCCAGCATGCCCTGCTCCTGGAGAAACTGGATCCCCCTCTTGGGTTTCTTATTGAACCTGTTTCAAGAAAAGATTGTTTATTGCAAAATCTGGATGATAGAAAAAGCTGGTATTTGAGATAAATTACAATAGAATACTAAGAACAAGTCATCACATATTATCTGAAAGGTCCTGTGTGTCCTGGTTAACTATTCTGAATTCCACCTTCAGTATCTGACCCAGTTACAGCAGTGTCTGCTGGTTGTCACCTCACATCCATCTCCCTGTCTCCAACATAAATAAAACCCTATGTGTTTAGCTGGGCACAATGCCACCCAGAATAAAAAGTCACTTCCCTGCCTTCCTTCAATAAAGTTTTAGCCAGTGAAATATGAGCAAAAGTGCTGTGGGTACTTCCTGAAGGATGCTTCAACAAAGCTGACTCAGGCAGAAGGTATATACTCTTTGCTCTTTTTCCCTTCTTCTCCAGAATATATGTGGATGGCTGGTACTCCAGTAGTCATCTTAAGCCATGAGGCAACCCTGAAGATAAAAATTATGTGCTAGGCATGGTGAAGCCAACAGATTAAAAGAGCTTGGATACCCAACATCCATAAGTCACCATAACGGCCTCAGACTTCTCACTTTCAGATTTCATTTACTTGAGAAATAGATAGTTTAGGTACTGTTATATTGTACTTCTTGTTTTTTGTTTGTTTGTTTTTTGAGTTGGAGTCTCACTCTGTTGCCCAGGCTGGAGTGCAATGGTACTCCTCCCATGACTACCACAGCCTCGACCTGCTGGGCTCAGGCAATCCTTCCATCTCAACCTTCCAAGTAGATGGAACTACAGATGTGCACCACCACACCTAGCTAATTTTTTAAAAAATTTATTGTAGAGCCGGGTTCAGTGGCTCAGCCTGTAATCCCGCGCCTTTGGGAGGCTGAGGTGAGTGGATTGCCTGAGCCCGCAGGTTCGAGACCCGCCTGGGCAGCGAGACCTCATCTCTACAATAAATCAAAAAATCAGCCGGGCGTGGTAG